ATACCTTAAGTGAAAATAAAAAGTACTGACAGTTAACAGACAGTTGCTTCATCTGAAATGACAAGCTTATGACGGTCAAAAAAAATATAATTTAACATAGGAGTGCCATTTGCATTTATTTAACAAGAAATTAATTAAAAATAGCACAAATCAGTTATCATTGTCAAAAATTGTGCAACCTAGCGCCAGAACCAGGGTTGATCTTGTCATTAACTTCGTAATAATTTGGATGAGGTCTGGAACAATTCAACTAACGCATATTTTATTAGGCATTCCAACGACCTGTCAAACAATAGGTACCAGTGGGAAATTCTTGTATATTTAAGGGGTAGCGACATAGTCTTGCAACTTGGACGCTATTTTTATTCGAAGTAGTACTCGCCAAGCCTGCCAATTTATGAAGAAATGTATAGGTGGGTTTTTTAAATATTATTTTTATTGTGTTTGACATAAAATATTTAAATGTAATCCATTATTCATGATTTTACGTAAAGTAGATAGAATACACCATATGTCGCCACCCTTAGATATACCAAACCTGCCCACTGGTAATTCATTTGTTTGGAATGCCTAATACTTTGATTACTATTCGCGATTCAAGCTAAGTGATACGCCCTCTGGAGGAAATTAGTAAAAGGTCCCTATAAGTAGGATGACGTTCAGTGTTGCCAGAAGCAGCAAAATTTCGTTACGTCGTCGGATTTTAGTTCTTGAAGAAATGGATAAGACCTTTTATTTAAGAATCAAAATTTGTGTCTAGTAATATGTAATCATACTATTTATTTAAGGATTTTTTTATAAAATCGATTTATTATATTGATTTTTTTTTTTAAATATCAGTTCATTTATTAATTTTAGTTTTAAAATCAGTCAAAGACAAAATCAGTTCATCATTTGGCAACATTGGCGTTCGTGTTCATTGTTTACATTTTAATTTGTATCAATTACAATTAGAGTTTTTTGTTACTTTTTAGCTTTAAATTTGTTTATTTCTTATAGTATGTGATAGTATTTAAATTAAAAATAAAATCTGCGAAAAAGCCTTCAGCAAATTGCAATCTGTATGGTGTTATTGTCAAAATCAAAACTGGAGTATTCATTATTTTTCAAGTGCAAGTCATAAAATTCTGTTTCTTACGATAAATGGGTATCTACAAATTCACAATATTGAAATTTTGCTAAACGTTGTTTAGAATCAAACTCCAATATGAGTTGTGACGGTTTTATTACCATTTACATGTATACAAAGTACTACACAATTCACTTCATGATATAAGAATAAGGATAGTAAGATTTTTAAAGAAGTTCATCAATAATAAACGTTTGGTGCCTGATATGTCCTTTAAACCACATAATAAAACATGTCCTGGGTTTAGTAAATACATATTTCTAGATGTTCTTGTAGCAACCAATAGGTCAATATTTCCAACAAATTAGTTCGTACTACACATGAAAAATTACATTTATAACGAAAGTACGAAAACTAAACTTAAATTAACACTAAATGAAACTCAAAAACACTATTATAATAAGAATATTATCTAAAAACAGTTAAAAAACCACAAATACAAAATCCCACAACACGTAAATAAACAAACATCCTACTTATACGTGACAAATGACAGGCGCGCGAAAATTAATTTGAATCGCGAATACGGGGCAAGAGAGAGGTCCGACCATAGCCCTCAGAAGGTCTAGGTACCGCATCATAAAAATATTTTGACCCCCCATATGATGGGCGCCATGATAAATAAATGTCAATAAATTTTAAGTTGGCACTACTGACAAGACAGAATCGGCGCAAGTTTAGTAATAAGCGTAAGATCGGCGTTCGACGTATATAATCGATTTTATTATCTGTTGTGTTGTTTATTTTGTTCTTCTAGTAAAGGTTTTATTTAAAACATTATTTTTTAGTTTAGTCGTTTAGTGTTTTATTTTAATAAAAAACATTTGTGGTTTGGTGTTAAATTTTTACAGGATTTTCAAAATCTCTTTTTGTTTTGTACGTGAATGTAACAATGCATCTAACGGTAGAAGATACAAGGAAGGAATAACATTTCATGTGTAAGTTTTCACAAATATTTGTGTATTTACAAAATCAAATAATTTGTATGTTTTGTTGTAGCATACCAAAAAATGTTAGGAAAGAATAACTGATCTCCATAGGAAGACCATTGAATCATTTTGTGACTTTAGTATAAGCCCAGAAAATTTGGGGATACTAGCTGAAACGGCAAATGTGTTATTGGCTCCTTGTTAGTGACCTATTGTACAATTTTTCCAACACAAATTCCATGATCCTTTGAACTTGGCTGCACGTACTGATGAAGACCAATAGTCAGAAAAACGTGTCGACCGTTACTTTTTTACTTTTTTTTATTCGGAAAATGTCCACTATTACTACCTTGCTACAATAATATTAGTTCCGTTCTAAGTAGGTACATATTATAGTTTGTATGTTTTATGCTTTATTTTATTATATTTATTTATTTATTTATTTATTTATTTATATTTATATGTAATAAATGATAGGAAATATACTTTTATAGTAAATAAATTGATTAAAGCAATATGTAAGAATAAGTTTATCTAAGGATTAAATTGTTAAAGCAATTTTTCATATCCATTGTTTATTAATTTGTTTCATTTAATTCTTTCTTATTGAGTAAATTATTTCATATAAATATGCGTTACTTGTAAAATGTAATATTTTCTTTTAAATAGGTATATATTATGTTCGTATAAAATATTGTTCAGTTAATAAAAACAGAAATATTTTGTCTTTTATTCAAAAGAAGTTTGTAAATTTTTCAAAATATTTTTACCTACCCCAAAAAAAGATTAATAAAACCAGTTAGTCATATACACATTTTCTATATATTTATGGAGGTACTTTTTAAATAACTTTCAATACATTCGAAATCTGTGGTTTTATTAATCTCAATGTAACAAATAATAATAGGTATTCTCAAAAATATTTAAAAATAAAATCGAGATGGTACTCTTGTATAATTTAGTGACTATTCGCCTATGGTTGGTGCACTGCTGTATGTCCCTGGGTTTTCTACATTAGAACAATACTGCTTCTCCACTCTAGCAGTATTTTTTGCATCTCAGATTATATTTATTAAAAAACCAAGGAATTGTTTTGGGCCTATTGCTGGGTCCTTTTCCAACATTCCCAAAGTTTTTTTTTTACTTTCTGCTGATTGGATCTCCGATAGCGACAACTCCATTTGTTGTTCCACTAGTTTTTTATCAAATTTTTAAAATAACTTTTATATATTTATCTTTTGCAACGACTTTGCTTACCTGCTTCATAATTTCTTCCCTATGCCCCAATTTCTCTAACAGGTGAGATCTTATACTCGCTCTATTAAATCAAATTATCATAGTTTATTTGAAAATGCTTGGTAGCACAGTTTTTATGGCAAAGGTCCATATTTTTATATAATTTTGCTATTATTCATTTTCAAATAAACTATAGGAATAGGAGTAATTTATTAGTTTTTCTAAAAATACCTTGTTACCGATGTAAGTATATCTTTCCCTAGTTAAAAAAATTCGAGTTTTTATTTTCATAATATAATATAAATAAATGACCGGTTAACAATCACATTCTTTTAAATAGTACATTTGACATTGAAGTAGGTATTTTCTCCATATTGCCAAACAGGAACAGATGGTTTACTTGTAATTTGAATTATATTACATACATATCACTGAATTTCTCTATAATTCTCATAGCAATATGTACACAAACCACTTATCCAATAATATATATAACCATGTAAAAATAACATTTCAAGAACGAGAAATTTTATAAAACCGGTCCTGTCTGAACAGATCTAGGAAAATCAAATAGGTTTGTCAAAGTTTTGTTTTTAATTTGAAATTAGAAATTGTGCGTCTCACTCACTTATAACTAATAACAAAGTGCAGATTATCGGTGTTCACGTATTACAGAACACACAAACTAAAAATCAGTGTAGCCAAAACATAAATTTACCTAACATGGCGACAAGCTTGAATGGGGTCATTTTTTTGTATTGACAGTATACGCCAAGTGGTATCTAGACTTTCTGAGGGCTATGGGTCCGACACACCCAACATAGGGCGCGGCCATTTTGATTCCTGTGACACAGTTTACAGCTAAAGAATCAGATCGCTCACTCTTCGTCGGCACTTTTGATCTCAATGTTCCAGTTTATACACTGTACAACTCGGATAATACAATATATGACATCCGCCTATAATAAAACAGCAGTCTTCTGCGTATCCTGAATTTGTATCCCTGGAGTGGATATTATTTTGGAACTTTCAACTGGTCCGAGTGAGCTAACTGATTCTTTAGCAATAAACTGTGACTTCAAAAATAATATTCACTGGCACTGACAGCAGCAAGCAAAATATCAGGTGCGTTTAATCATCCGCTTCTGCTTCCGGAATTGTCGGTTTAGTCGTTTTAACCTGTCAGATTAAAACAAGAAAACCGACAATTCCGAAGAAGTGGATGATTAAAACGCACCTATTAAAAATATTGCGCCAAGATGTAGGCAACACGTAATAAGGGTTCAAAATGGCGGAGTTTTCTATCTCCTTTTAAAAGGCACTCAGAAAGCTGCGCAGTGCGACCATTATCCGTATAGTAAAAGAAAATCAAAGTATGTGGTTTGAATAATGATTGCAATATTTATTTTACTTATTGCAGGTTACGTTATATAAAGTGTCGCTTGTCACCACTGTCACATGGAAACGGTCAATTAATTAAAAATTATTATATACCTAAATCAATTTAAATTTTAAAATATTATTAATAGTAGTTGTAAATCTCCAGAAATATTTATATTTTGGAGTAAGGATGACAAAGAATTTGGTGGATATGCTTGTTTGTGGACAATAAGCACTGATGATGGCACCATGCCAAGAGAGCTTTGCATTTAATAATTAAAAAAAAAAAAATTGCACGAAATATAAGTCTTTTTTCTTAATTTCAGATTACTGTTAAATGTAAAAATTCCTGTCTATCCTGAAGCTGCAAAAGAATCAGAAGAACCTGAAAAAGAATTTAAGAAGATAAGTATCAACAGAAATAATTTCGAAGCATTAAGTATAGATGAAAAACGAAACAGTAATGATATAGCACTAAGCATTAGTACTATTACGGAATAATTTTGTATATTTTATAATAAAAAAATGTATATGCCTAAATCGTTTTTATAATGTTTTGTTTTATTATATTTAATAAATTTCTACATTTAATTTGTACAGCTGTTTTTTTTTTAAACGAGATAGTTTGAGAGTGTTATTGTAAAATCAGGTAAAGTAGGTATCTGCGGTGTTACAGCCGAAAATAACAACCACAGCGAAGTAACAAAAACTGTCGGTCCTTTGAAGTTCGGAGAGTAAAATTTTTTGATCTTGCGTTTGACTTATAAAACGGATGGCCCGTATATTACACTAAGAAAAAATTAATAGAACGTAATAAATGCTATGCACTGAGAAAAACTATATTGAAACTGAAAATAATATTTTACCTTACTTATCGTGTATAAAATGTATACGGGGGCGCATTATAAACAGTCCACCTCAAATATTATTGGCGGGGGAGGTTTCTGCGACAAACCTTAAGACACGTAATTAAAAAGAAATAGGTAGAGACAAAGACAATTTTCTTCATCCTTCTGCCCTAAGAATACCGAGGTCGCTCTATGTTCTCGTTCCAATGCGAAACAAATACTTTTGCGATTGCTCGGAGTGTCAATTCAAGCACGTTTGCAGGGCCCGTAATTCTTAAATAACCTTAAATAAAATGACCCAATGACATACTTCAACTCGCAAGGCCTCAAATATTCACCATTGTGGCATTACTAACGGGGCACTGCTTGCTGAAACATCTTCATGTAATGGGATTACACAATGATCCCACTACGTGTAGACTCTACATGGAAGAGAAAAAAACCTTATACCAAGGCATAAGAAACAATCGGCAGGCTCACTTGCCGCTGATCGCATACAAATGTTATACTAAGAAAATTTGACCTTAACGACCCCATTTGGGGGTCTAAGTCAAGGCCGGATTAACCCATTGTTCCATTATTGGAACAGTGTTGTGTATTCCCAGTGTTCCAATATTGGAACAAACCATGTGTTACTCCCTCCAGTTTAAATATGCTTGCGTGGCCGTTCAGTTTAAACAGTAGACGCTTTAGTAGTGTTTAACCAAGCGTACAGTGAGGTTTTATTTGGTTAGTCTGCATATTTCTGTGAATGACGCGCAAAACTCTGTAAATTTTTAACAGCTGACCTAATGGCGTCCAAAAAGTAAGTATATTTGCTAAATTTAGGGCTCTAATATTATTTGCACTGCAGAGGTCAGTATTACGGAATGTACGTTACATGTGTTTCACACCTTTTTAGAAACAAAGTGCAAATTTATAAATGGTGGGTCGTTTTTGTTTTGTTCCTATATTGGAACACTGGGTATGAATGGGTACATTATGTTTATGTTTTGTTTTAGGTATTTGACAAATAAAAATTTAATCGATTTGGTTGAAAATGAAGACTTTTGGTCTGCTGATGTCTACATTACTCCACCAAACGATGGAATTGAGTCAGAAGAAGATTCTGACGATGACGAGGATCCTTTGGCAAACGTTAATCATCTTAGTGGGCGGCAATTGTAGTCAGAAGCTTGTGCTAAAATAAATAAACCGGACGGGGTAGTTTATCTTGAAGACGAAGTTGAGGATAATAACCTAACAGATGGCAATGGAAGTGATGACAGTGATGATATACCTCTGTCTCAATTGTTGACTCAAATGAACCAAGAACAAGCAAAGTCCAGTTCCGAACGACAATGGAAGAAAGTTAACATAGATCCTGCATTTCCTACATATAGTTCACCTAAAGAACCGCTTAACGGCAACATATTTTCAGATCCTGTTGCTTGTTTTGAGTCATTTTTTGATGTGCAAATTTGCAGTATTTTGGTGGAAATGTTTGAAGTGTACGCCAGGCAAAAAGGCGATCATAATTTCACCACTAACAGAGAAGAAATAAAATGTTTTGTAGCAATTTTATATCTATCTGGACATTTACAAGTTCCAAGATGGCGTATGCGTTGGGAAGTTGATAGTGATACATATAATCCACTAGTTGCAAATTCAATGCGAAGAAATAGATTCGAAACGTTAAAAAAATATGCACATTGTTCTGACAACAATAATCTAGAAGACAACAATAAATTTGCAAAATTACAACCCCTCTTCAATATGCTAAACGAAAGATATTTATCTCATGCTCCTCTGAGCGAAAAACTGTGCCTCGATGAAAGTATGGTGCCATATTTCGGAAGGCATGGAGCGAAGCAATACATAAAAGGAAAGCCTATTAGATACGGGTACAAAATATGGTCTTTGTGCGAAAAGTCTGGCTACCTCATACAATTTGATCCTTACCAGGGAAAACAAGCTGATAGGAAGTACATGGAACTCGGACTGGGAGGGTCTGTCGTAATGACACTTTTAGAAAATCTGCCAAAGGATGTGCCATTTAAAATATATGGGGATCGCTATTTTTCTTCTTTAAAATTGGTTGCTTCACTAAAAAATTATGGTGTGGGATATTCAGGTACTATCAATGGTAACAGACTTGAAAACTGCCTATTGCGAAATAATTCAAATATGAAAAAAAGTCCAAGAGGGAGCTTTGATTTTTATACAGACCTCAATTCTCAAATTACAGTTACTCTATGGAACGATAATCGTCATGTCCTAATGGTTAGTAGTTGTGATCCAGTAAATCCCGTCTCCCAAGTTAACAGGTGGTTATCAAGTGAGAAAAAGAACCTTCCTGTTTCTCAACCCTTCGTTATTGGTCAGTATAATAAATTTATGGGCGGGGTGAATCGAATGGATCAAAATATTCACAACTATAGGATTAGCGTCCGATCGAAAAAATGGTGGTGGAGTCTCTTCACATTTTGTTTGGACTCGTGTATTCACAATGCCTGGCAGTATTATAGGCTTCAACCACATTGCGAAAAAATAGATTTTTTGCAATTTCGACGAGAAATAGTTCAGGTATATCTAAAGAAGTATGGGTCACCAGTGTCAAAACCATTGCAAAATAGAGTCAATAATCAAATACGATTCGACGGTCTTAATCACTCGATTGTTCCAACCAAAAAACAAAATAGGTGTGCTTTGTGTCACAAGAACTCGACAAAAATGTGTGAAAAGTGTAACATTAATTAAGTGTAAAGGTTAAAGAAAAGGTCCTTTATTTCTCACTTGTGAGAAATAAAGGACCTTCTCTTTAACCTTTACACTTAATCCCTACTACTCACATATGGTTACCCTCACTCAAAAAAAAAATAACATTAATTTACATGACACTTATTTTAAGGCGTTTCATTTGACCCAAACTTGATTTTTTTGTATTTAATATTTAACCACATTTTGTTTTTATAATATTTTTTGATTAAACTGTTAAGAGTAGGAAAAACTAATTTGAGTTTTACTGATCCCTTCCCTTCTCAGTGTTCCAATATTGGAACATTAGGTTTTTGCAAAAAAAAATTACAAAAACAAATTAAAATCTTCTTTTTTACATGAAATATTATTTGTTTGTCTACATGCATTCCGAAATTTACACTTCTCAACACAATTTAAAACTTGGGCATTACAAGTGCTGACAATTTTTTAAAACCTGGATAAAAATGGGTTAAAGCGTATTTAAATATTTTGTAATAAAATAAGGTATTGATAGACAGGATCGTATTAAAACAAAAAAGTAAAAATTTACATAAAATATATTCTAATTTAACTTATAAAAATAGCATTAAGAAAGACAATATGCTCTAAGATTGCGCCAAATAATTAGCTTGTTTTTATTGATGGTCTTAAAATTTCTAATTATATTTTTAAAGTGTAATATATGAGTAGCCTTAAATAAAACTTAATAACATATATTTCTGGAAATCGGGGACAAGGAGCGTCAAATGTTGTCTCGGAATTAATTAAATCTAAAAAAAATTACAAACGCCGGATTTAGTGATAAATAATTCAAAATTCTGTTGAAACATTATTTAAATTTTTGTTATTAAACATACAAAACTATTATTTGACATTTTTAAATTGACAAAAATATCTTTATTTGCTTTTTTTGTATGGTTTATAATAATACATGGAGCTTGTATCCAAGTCTTCGTGTGGTAAGGCATATTGTGTACATACGTCGCAACTGTGAATTTTAAGACATTTTTTTATTAAAAATCCGTATATATAATAAAATTTTCTTAAAAAATATTAATATTTTGTGCATGCAATTCATTAATATGCTTGTTTATATTTACATTTTCGACAATATTGCCACCATTACACGCGATTTTGGAAAATGGCTCATCCTTCCCAGCTAGCACATAACGTTGCCAAGCATTTTGGCGATGTTGTTTTAAGGGAACATAATAACATACCCATACAACGTAATTACAACGTTAATGAGAAGTTGTTGAGGGAAATCAAAACCTCGCGAAACATCTATTTGTTACTTACGTATTTAACCTGCCTGTTATGATAACACAACGTAATTAAGTAACTTGCTAAAAAAGTTTCCACGAGAAGTACTATGGACATAATCTTGTTTTCGAACGTAGCCATTCGTTTGTCATAACCATAGATTACATCATAACCAACAAAACATAAAAAATGTCACTTGTCAGTTTTTCTTGTACGTATTTGAGATTTTAAAGAAATTGGAAACTATACGTTTGAATAAATTTGGTAAGTTGTTTTCTTCTTTTCAATAAAATAGATACATATTTTCTAATTTATTGTCTGTTGTTTTAGATGGTAAAATTTCAATTTCCAAATACAATAAAAAATAAATCATTGTAAACAAGTAGATACAATTAAATGACTGCTTATATTTATTTTAGACGATAATAGGGATCTTATTGATGCCTTAATACAATAGAAGTAACGATTTTAAATAATGAAAGTATCGATATTTAGGCACTGATACTGAATTACCAATACTATCGCCATAGTGATACTTAGAAGCAAGTATTGTATCCCTATGTGTGTGGTCAGAGATTATAAGGTTTGTTCAAATATTTGTACTGAAATATTTTAGTTTTTGCATGTGGTGAAACTTGGTAATATGATTAAGCGTTACCACTATTTTTTTTTATTTAATTATAAGG